TCCACTTTGAAACTATTGGAGAGTCCTGTCCCGAGTGAATATGTAGATATTTGCCTTTTGTGTGTATTGATCATGTGTATGTCTGTCTGAAGCTGCATACCTTTGAACACTGTCAGACCGAAGCCTGTCACTGGTCACCGCAGTCTGCTTGGATTGCTTTGGATAAGCTCCCTCTGGGGATGATTTTTTTTTTTTGAAAAGTAAAACAATTTTATTGTAGATAGAAAACTGGTTATCTGAATATCTGGTTTTATATACAGACACTTAGGTTAAAGAATGAAGAGTCCTGGGCTCAACTACACGTCCTAGAGTGGCCCAAAGAAGCCATGCTTTTTAATGGCATGTCACTTTTAACTATCCCTAAATTAAGAGAGGGAGGTAGGAGCCCCCAAAGCCTTCCCACTGAGGCAACAGGTCATAATTTAGTCCCCTGAACTGTGAAAGCATGGGTTGATGCTTAAGGTGCTATGGGGAAAAGGCTAGTTAATAGAAGAAAGGACCACATGACTGTTGGATTCGTTATTCTCTCTGGGCCCAGTAGTGTGTCCTCTGTCTCTGTCACTTGTCTCTCAGAACAGTAGGTAGCCGGCATGCATGCTGTGGCAGCCACACTGATGACCTGAGAGGACTTGGGATCCTCCACTATATGACTCAGAAAAAAAAGGAATTGCTGCTGCTGCTGCTGGTGTGTGTGTGTGTGTGTGTGTGTGTGTGTGTGTGTGTGTGTAATTGAAATTGAGAAGGCAGATTGCCATTATTTACATCTGATATATGCCATTTAAAAAAATCCTGTTCCCATTATTTACATCTGATATATGCCATTTAAAAAAATCCTGTTCCCTTATGAGAATGTTACTGGATATAAAAACATCTATCTGAGACAGTGTTAAGTCCTCAAAGAGGAGCCATGAGTTACTTCTTACCTTGTGAAGAGTCTGCCAAAAATATGGTCATATACATCTAGAGGCTATAGGCCTGTATATGTGGTGTTTTATATACATATGTATCTTACAACAGTGCATTGCCATTTGGGTTCTGTAATTAAAAGTGAACTTTGGTCAGAGTTAATGTGGTTTCCGTAGGTCTTCCAAAAGGAGTTGGGGAAGAGGACCAGCAGCGTGCAGGCACTGAAGCGCTCGGCCAGAGAGCTCATAGAAGGCAGCCGGGATGACTCCTCCTGGGTCAAGGTCCAGATGCAGGAATTAAGCACCCGCTGGGAGACTGTGTGTGCACTTTCTATATCAAAGCAGACGCGGTTAGAAGCAGCCCTGCGACAGGTAAAGTCCACATAAACGATAGCTAGGTGTAGTCAGTGAAGTCCGGGAACTTCAGCAAGGACAGCTCTGGTAGACCAGGGGTCCCATCCTCATCCTCTTACCGATTGGTCATCAAGGAAGTCTGGACCCTTCTTCCTGCTTCCTACTTTAAAAACTTAAAGTGCTTAGCAGGGGTATCTGCTAATCTCTGCTTAGTCCTGTTTGAGTGATGTCTCAGCTTGGAAACCTGACTAGCTGCCACTCAACTAATGCTAAGCTTCAGGGATGGTGAGCTAGTCTTCCTGTAGGCCTTCTTGGTGTATCACATCTCTCCTGTTATTTGTAAAATACAGTGACATTCGTCACTATTTTCTTAACGGGAGTAATGTGCGTATTAATTAATTAAGACTTTAATTTAAAAAATTAAGACTTTTGTCATGGAGTGGGGCATGTTTACAGTTCTGTAAATGTTACTAACAGGTATATGGGATATTTTGTTTTGTGTGTGTGTGTGTATGTGTTAACTGTTAGGCAGAGGAATTTCACTCTGTGGTCCACGCCCTCCTGGAGTGGCTGGCGGAAGCAGAGCAAAC